CACTAGCAATAAAATTAGGACATACAAGTGCAGAATATTAGAGGTGTTACAAAAGAGTAACAAACAACCAAAAAAACAAACAAAACAAAACAATTTTTTTTAAAAAAGAGGAGAGATCAGGACGATAACTGTTTGATATGAAAGAAAGGAGCCAACCACAACTGAACACCCACCAACAGCCCTTTTGTTAGAACGTGCTTGCCGGTATGCTATGATAATATAATAAGCGTTTTATGGCACTTTCAATACAATAAGGTAATGATAAAAGTGTCAACGAATAGGTGTTACAAGAAAGTAGCAAACACATATTTTAAAAAAAAGAAGAGAGACTAGAATGATAGACGTTTGATAGGAATGAAGAAGTCAACCACACCAGGGTACCTGCCACCCATCCACTGAATGCTATGAAAGTGATAGTTATTCCTCTAATTATTATTCAGTACATTGGAACCTATGTTCCTTAACGTCCGTTTATTTGTTTGCGTAAAGAGAAGAACGTCGCTGTTTTAGTTTCAGTAGAGGTTTTACGGCGCTCGCAACTGCATAAGGTCATATGAGCGCCAGAAGATAAGAGGTGTTACAAGAGAGTAACAAACACAAAAAGAAGGAGGGGAGATAAAGACGATAGACGTGTGATAGGAAAGAAGGAGCAAACCACACCAGAGCACCCGCCAACCACCCGTCGCTGTAAAAGGGGCCATTTAGTGCAGGGAAAAGGTAAGGCAGGAAGACAGACACAACAGAGGGAAAGTTTGTTTGTTTTTTGTTTTGTTTTTCAAAGTAGGACCCTCTGTTGCACAACCGTTCAAGTGTTGGCGTTTGTAGGCGTTTTATTCAGTCTTTAAGCTCATTGGCCCACACCCTAGACGGTCATATAATTTATGATCGCCTAGCCCACACCACATAAAAATACCCATTTTACAAAGGAACTTCCTTGAAAAGGGCATACATTATTAAATAACATACATACATATCAATAACATTTTAAAATCAGTACCCGTTCCGGACAATCGATTGCGAACAACAATGCGGCAGAAAAACGAACGACTTACATTACAGGAATGACGGCAGATTGTTGGAAGGACTATTTGTATCATATTTGTTGGAACAAAGAGCAGCACATTGACACAATAACGGCCAAGCACTTGCTTGTTTGTCTGTTTGAACAAAGAGCACACAGGCAAAGTAACGCTAACACTCCCCCCCCCC